AGAATTTCTTATGCTTTGCTATGTGTTTGGGAAATGGCTGGTTTATGCCACCCAGGAGCTGGCTGCATTTTATTGCTAACTACACAGATTTCTGAATATGAGGCAAAAGAAACCCTAGTAATATAACTGCAAAGTTACATATTAGGACGTGAAAGGAAACAATAACTTGTGAAGCCATCAAATATACTCTTATGTCATTTGGAGAGGTCAGATAGACTTGGATTTAATTCTGGTTCTACACTTACTAGCTGTGTGATCTTGGATAAGTCATTCAATCCCTGAAACTCTGTTTCTCCATAAATAACAAAAAGAGTTTTTACAAAGATCACAGTGATATTGTATGTAAAAGTGCCTGGCATGCTTAGTATGTATAGTAAGTTCTCAACAAGTGTTAGCTAATATACCATTAATAATAATCCAGATAAAGTGTTAATTCAAGAATTCTCAAGCTCTTACACTAAGTTTCATGCCATTCTGGGCCCTGTGAAAACAATCAAAGAAGTATCAGTTATGGTCCCTGACTATTTAGAGAAACACATAGAAAAATGAGCAAATAACATAAATAACTTACATACGAAATGAACTTAATCAAGGACTCACATATGGAATCAGATAACATATATTAAGTATGTATTATATGTCAGGAAGTATTTTAACCACTCGTGTATCTCATTTAATTCTCATAAGAACCCTATAAGGAAACTGAGGCACAGGGAATTTAGGTAACTGCCTCATGTTCACTCAGCTGGCACATGTCAGAGCTGAGATTTTTAACTCAGAGCAATATAATCCGAGCTCCATATTCTTTACTGTTGTACCTCTGCCTTTATGTAATTAAAAAGAGTGTAAATCACATGGACTGAAGATGAAAGAGAAAGTTTGGTGGAGGAAGTAGCCATTGAGAAAAGCCTTGGAAGATTATAGACCATCAGAAGAGAAAAATGGTATTTCAGGTGGAAGGGCAAAGCAAAAGCCATAGAGGTGGGAACACTGTGTGTTAGGAATAATGAGGAGACTGACTGGCTAGTTTATGTTGGGGAAGAGACCAAGTATGTGAGATCATCAGTGTACCTGCTGAGTTGCAAATTTTGCATCCCCTTACTAAGCAAATCACCTCACTTTTTCTCTCTTTTCTTGCTCTTCCAAGAGAATTAAATAACCTGTTCTTTGGTCTCTTTTAGGCTCTTTGAAACCCTTCAGTCACTCTTCTGGTCTGTATTCGGCCTTTTAAATCTCTATGTCACTAATGTGAAGGCCAGACATGAATTCACAGAGTTTGTGGGAGCCACCATGTTTGGGACGTACAACGTCATCTCCCTGGTAGTGCTACTGAACATGCTGATCGCCATGATGAACAACTCCTACCAGCTTATTGCTGTGAGTAGCTCCTTGCTTTACAAGGGTGGTTACATTAGGTTCAGGAATGGCCGGCCACATTGACATGAAGCCCATTGGAAATTCAATCAAACAATCTGTCAACTTTGATTATTTTACATTCACATTTCTAGTTGTTAGACTGAATTTTTTCTTTCCAAGGCAACTTTGTTTAGGCTCTTAGTCCACTGAATCTTGATAATCTAGAAAAGAATATGCTAGTTAATAAAACTTGTTGGCTACCTGTCAAAAATATTTTTAAATCTCTGCATCCACTTTCTTGCCTTCATAAGGCAAGCTCAAGGGCTATGAGAAAGATCTGGCTAAAATATGTCACTTCATTAGTCTCCAGGGTTGATCCAACTGATGCAGTTCTCTAGGCAAAGGTTCCCTACCCCCCTCTTCAATGCAAATGTCTCCCTCCCAAATCTAAGATGTTTTGACAAGGACAAGAATGACTTCCTGCTTGAACAATTTCTCTTAGAAAGATCAGCACGAGGCTGGTCCCCATGAGGTGGAGGTCAAAGATGTCCCAAATGTCCAAACTACCATGCCACTCCATCATTTCAGACATTAACCCCTCCTCCTCCTCCCAGTAATTTCCCCAGTCTTAGGGTTCTGAATTTCGCTGTAACGCCTCA